ATGACCCGTGACCGGGCCAATGCACAATGTGATGTATGGCGATACACCATAAGGTACCTCCACCTAGAACAACTGAAGTGGTCTGTTAATCCATATATTGTTATGTATACAAAAGTCGATGTGTGTATGTTCACTCTAGACTCCTTGTTGGAGTTTGAATATATATATGTAATGGCGGGCAACACTTGACACAGTAAGATTACAGATTTCGAATATTGAAATGCTTATTTAAATGTTTAAAACAAATAATTTACATCTCTTCAGTGAAGACAATGACTTCTCATCTAGACACGGCCAGAGCAACATCTTAGAGTTTTACTAATAGTGTACAAAGTATTTGCAATATAATTATATTAGCCATGAAGCAGAGTGTTTTTGAATATACCCTCAACTACAGAACCCGATCCCCTCAAATTTAACCGTCCAACACTCCTCCACTCCGACGCTGATATGGTCTCTCAAGACCATCAGCTTAGGTAGGTACGAAAAAAAAGGCTCCGAAACGGCTAGACCGATTTGGATGAAATGTTCAGGAAATCTTCAGATTGGCTGGTCCGGTGCTCCAGTTTGCGGGAAACAAATTGAGCGGGACATGTCACATATTCGTCAAGTTTCCCCCTTTAAGATTTGCTTTGATAACCTTGCCTATATGGCATTCATTCAATATCTGTGTTCACTGACACCGGCCATATCATACTTATGTCATTACCAACAGTCATTTTAGGTCACTACTTACATTACTATTACGAAACAGTTTTTATCAATTGAAAAATGTAAGTGTCGCTATGTTAATAATGTCGTGTTATAAAATTTTGTTTCAAATTCGAATTTAAGGGATATCCGTCCAAGTGAAGTATTCCTTATTTACTGCAATATTGTATCACTAACTAATTAGTATTGTAAACTCTAGATTAACTGTAAAACTTTTTATTATTTTTTTTATTGCTAAGATGGGTGGACGAGCTCATAGCCCACCTGGTGTTAAGTCGTTACTGGAGCCCATAGACATCTACATCGTAAATGTACCACCCACCTTGAGATATAAGTTCTAAGGTCTCAAGTATAGTTACAACGGTTGCCCCGCCCTTCAAACCGAAACACGTTACTACTTCATGGCAGAAATAGGCAGGGTGGTGGTACCTAACCGCGCGGACTCTCAAGAGATCCTACCACCAGTAAAGTTTGTTGAATAAAAATACACTTATCACTCACAGCCCGCCAGGTTAAGTCCTTAGCTATCACAACGTAGAAACCGTGAGTTTGAGATATAATGCCCAACTCTCAATCATATAATATTGTACAATATAATAATCTAATTATGATTTCATTTAGACAATGACCCCCAAATTTCTATATCAATTAACAAACTATAAACTACACAAAGTAAATACCCCAAACCACTTCGTGACAAACGAAAACTCTAAATTGCATGCGCATGCTCCATCAATCATCTGTAAACGTTTGAAGGTCAAAAAGAATGAAAATTATTGTCATTTTAGTCGAATCATTACTAAGTATATCGATAGATGCGTGCTTCAGTCGCGTGTTTAGACTTTTAATAGTTTTCTAGAATTTTCGGTTACATAATCTTTTCGCGCATGACTGAAAGTATAGTTGTTCAGTTTATTTGTGCCCGGGATATGCCTAAATCAAAATTATCTAAAGAGCATCTAAAGGTTCTAAGCATCTTGAGGTTACCGGGGCCCATAGGCATCGGCAACGTAAATGCCGCCATCCATCTTGAGGCATGAGTTCTCAGTCTGAGCTTTTTAGTACAACGGCTGCCCTGCCCCTTGAAACCGCAACGAAATATTCTCAGCAGTATTCACTTTGTTATGCCTATGAGTTGCAGTAAACTATTAATTGCCAACATAACACATTAATTGCCTTGTAGACCTACAGGTCCTCAGTACGTGGCGGACTGAAGTAATTACGTCGATTTCTGTTACTAAGCGCCTAGATTGCCTAACTTCACCCTCTTTTGTTTTTAATGTACTGGTGGTAGGACCTCTTGAGAGTCCGCGCGGGTAGGTACCACCACCCTACCTATTTCTGCCGTGAAGCAGTAATGCGTTTCAGTTCGAAGGGTGGGGCAGCCGTTGTAACTATACTCGAGACCTTAGAATTTATGTCTCAAGGTGGGTGGCGCATTTACGTTGTAGATGTCTATGGGCTCCAGTAACCACTTAACACCAGGTGGGCTGTGAGCTCGTCCACTCATCTAAGCAATAAAAAAAATATGTAGATTTTAGACTTTTGGGTCTCTTAGATTCATTCTCAGTATCTTCGGATTCGTCTTTCTCAGTCTACTAGATATTCCGATGCCTTGGGGGGATTGAACAGCGGTCAACCGGTGGGCGATTAGTTAGTCTAGCCATGTGCCTGAATCAAAAAAGAAATAAGGTGAACCATGATAAGCCTGAAGTGTTTGGTATGAGGAACAAAATTATTTATCCTACTGATAACTCTCTACGGCATGCTTCTAGGTAAACAGCACGCCACACGCCACATGTCGGCTTTACTGCCGTGTTGTACATATATTTGAATATTTACCCACGTTCACACGAATTTCACGCACGCTACTTCGTTATTTTTGCATTGAATTATGTGAGTTTGAATAGTCCCATATACTCGACCCTATTCTGACCCGGCTGGCTCTTTATAGTATTATCTTGTCTTGCCTAGATTGCAAGATTGCTAGATTGCCTTGCCCTTGATTTTGTAATTTTTATAGTTAATAGTTATTGTAATGACTTTCTTAAGTAGCAGCACCATTTTATCCCTTTATGTTGAACGAGAGGAAATCGTCAGCGTCAGAACTTCCTTTCGATCAGCGAGGTGCCGTGTAAGAGTATAATCGGAACCAAGACCACACGTAACTGGCGATCAAAATTAAATGATACGCCATACTATTTCACCCGGTGCAAATTTGCCGAGATCAATTATTGTTTTATTTATTTTTTATTGCCCTTGTAGGTAGACGATCATACGATCCACCTGATAGTGGTGGTTGCCGTTGCTACGGACATCAGCAATGGCAGGAGGCCAGACAGGCTGCTGTCTACCGACCAAGCTAGGACATCTATGACGGTGATCATTCCCATCAAGACCAAACTTCTCGGCTGCCTTCATTAATAATAAAAAGTCATTACCGCAGAACATGGCACATTCCATAACTGTAGTCACGTGATCGAATACTCAACTAGGTTGAAAAAATTACTAATTTATTCCCCGACCTGCATGATTAATTTTCGTCATAAAAAGGTTTTTTTTACGAATATAAATTATTTTTAATTAAGCCGTTTAACTGATGTGGATTTCGAAATTATGGTATATAGGTAATTGAATATTGTAAGAATGCTATCACTGAACAGGTCAAGGCGCTCCGTCTCTTGGCAACGAACTGCCAACAATTCTTCTTGACGCCCGCAAACGCTAATGGATCGCGGTCATGAAATATGCATTAAAACATCGTAAGCCCGTAATAGGACGATGAAAATTGTATTAAAACGCTGAAAACACGAGACGGGTTTTCGTAATCTTTAAAAACAACTTTTAGGTTATTTATTTTGAAATAATAAAAAAAAGTTTAAGGACAAAAAAAATATAGCGAAATTAATTTAATATTTTTTCATCCTGTTGATATTGGTCAGGGCATTGGGCGATGTTATATAATGATTGGATTGTCGTAGCCTAAGGGATAAGACGTCCAGTGTATTCATATCTTACGATGCACCAGTGTTCGAATCCCGCTGGCAAGTACCAATTTTTCTAATGAAGTACGAACTTAACAAAGGTTCACGAATGGCTTCCACGGTGAAGGACCATGCCATCGTGTAGTAAAAAATGAAACCCGCAAAAATTATAATTTGCGTAATATTGGTGGAAGGAATTCATGCGCATCCGCACGGGTAGTTACCACCGCCCTGCCTATTTCTGCCGTGAAGTAGTAATGCGTTACGGTTTAAAGGATGGGGTAGCCGTTGTACTACTGTACTGAGACCTTAGAACTCATGGCCCGAGGTGGGTGGCGGCATTTACATTGTAGATGTCTATGGGCTCCGGTAACCACTTAACACCAGGTGGGCCGTGAGCTCCTTCACCCATCTAATCAATAAAATAAAAAAAGTTTATCGGACAGCAATAATAAACAAACATAGCCTTAATGTTATTAATTTTCTAACTCTTACATAACTTGACATGAGCTTGTCTATTGTTTCGAGTGTCTTTATACTCAGGCCACAGAAGTGCTTTCAAAAGCACTTCAACTTTTTCTCTTTGATGGCTCTATATGTGAACTTAAGTATTGGGAACAAAAAGAAAACGTTTCTGTTGTCATTCGTTGTCAGCAGAAAGCTCAATTATATTTAGAAAAAAAATAATGAATCTATTAATTTCAATTCTATTCACTAGTCAAGACAAACTATTATCATGTCAGAACTAAGCACTAAAACTTTACTAATTTATAATTTATTAAGGCTACTTTACTTTTTAATACGCTTTTGTATGTAACGGAATCTTTGAACATGATTTTGACCCCCTTCAAAACGTCGGATTAACTCGAAATTTGGCATTCTTATTAAGGACCGATGACAAATAAAATTTAAATTCAACAAAAAAATGAAAAATTAATGATAGTTTAAAAAAATTAAAAAATACGCTTTTATAGAAAATCTAACTAAAAAATAGAAAATAAATTTTAACTAAATTATAAAATTATAACAATAAAAAAATTTTTTCTTACACTATTTTTAATTCAAATTTATTATCTATTTTTTTAGTTGGATTATCTATAAAAGCGTATTTTTTTAATTTTTTTAAACTATTATAATTTATTTTTTATAACTATGGTAGATAAGTCATGAAATAACTTTCATGACTTATCTACCATAGTTGGCCAACTGTGAGATTTATTTTAATCTTGTGTGTGTTGTGTGTGTGTGTGATGTGACTTTCGTAATACATGGGTAAAAAGTAATTGTGGCACGTTCTGTATTTAGGCATCTCGACATTATCGGGATGCGGGACACCGGACCAGTTGGATCGTCTGCCGGAGCTCCCGGCGGCCGAGGAGAAGCGCCTCCGACGAGCCGCGCAAGTTCTGCAGCAGCGGCTGGTACTGCGACAGTGGCTCTCCACACATAAGCTCCAACATGTGTACACGAAGTACGTATGAACATTGGTTTAAGATTTTCATCTATATATATAAATAAAATTGGAGTGTCTGTTTGTAATATTGAAACAACCGCTTTTTAATACACGCATATAAATATAAAATACACAAATTAAGATTTTTTACAATTTTTGTCTGTCTGTCTGTCTGTCTGTTTGTTCCGGCTAATCTCTGGAACGGCTGGACCGATTTTGACGAGACTTTCACTGATAGGTAGCTGATGGTATAAGGAGTAACTTAGGCTACTTTTTTTAGAATATCTTCGCCCCGCGTCGTCACCCGCGGTACGGCAATAACCGCGGGTAACATCGCGGTACTCGCTATCTATACTAATATTATAAAGAGGAAAGATTTGTTTGTTTGTTTGTTTCGAATAGGCTCCGAAACTACTGGACCGATTTGAAAAATTCTTTTTCCATTAGAAGCCGACATTGTCCCTGATGAACATAGGCTACTTTTTTTTATTTATTTTTTTTGGTTTCATGTGTGTTTTAATGTTTCCGAAGCGAAGCGGGGGCGGGTCGCTAGTCAATAATAAAATTTAATGTTTCCGAAGCGAAGCGAGGGCGGGTCGCAAATATTTCATATATTAAAATTAATTGCTGTTTAAATGAGCAGATATAATACCAGACCTTATGCCTCTAGTTTCGAAACACTCCGCCCGTCGAACCGAGAACGCAACGAGAACGTAGACTTGCAAAATTAATGCGGCGTTGTCTTAACTACTTAAGGTCTCTGTATAAGAAAAGCGGCATATCGGAACTTAAAAGGAAAAACATTACTTTGTTTGCTGAAAGTGTTATGGGTTCTTGAAATAGCTCCACGTAGCGTAGGTAGTTGTTAAAGGAAAACATAATTATGTTTCATATTAACACGGGGAGGTAAAGCATCAGTTTCCATCCCACATTGCATGTTTGCAACCAGCCTTGTTGTATTAGTTTTTCCAATGCAGTACAATATTAATTTATTTGACCTTTTCGCGCCAGCTTCGCCATGACTGTACACGTCATTAAACTCTGCACTCATAAAAAAAATACAAGAAAAATACCCGAATCCTGGCATTATTATTTAAGCCTCGAAAACAGGCAAGCTCCGAAAGCATAACTGTTTTAAAGGTCAGAGGGTGACAGACATTAAATTTAATATTTACAGAAAAAATACAATTTCGGGCGCGATGGTACGCAACGACTTGAATCGTTTTTATATTCATTGTTCATTCCACAACGCGCTTCTTATAGCGAGGATACATATTGTTTAGTCAGAAACACAGCGGGTTTCATATTTTTGAGATTGAATTGCGAACGAACAAAGCTTTATCATTGTTTATGGTTTTGAATTGCGCAATTTATTGTTTTCGAAGGCATTTCAGGAACACTGTTTTTGACAAAGAAGATAACTATATACAGATAAAAACAAATGTATTGTTGCTTTATGGTGCTAAGCGGATAAGGAAGCCCTTATCCGTCCTGCCACTCACCTGGAGATTTGAGGTCGAAGTCTCAAGAGTATTGAATAATCAAACATTTAACACAACTTAGTGACAAAAATACGTAGGATGGTGGTACCTATCCGTTTGGGCCCAGATTGTTGGTGCGATTCTCAAAAACTAGTAAAAGAACATACAGCGAATTGGCCAAAACCCAATACTAAGTAATTATGAATATGTGATAAAAAAAACGTTGATGTAATAGTACCATCACACACCTAGAAAGGTCCGGTAACACTGCAGGTACGTTGATCTATCTGTTGACCTAGTTTCTCAATAATGGGGGCCAGGTGGAGTTGGGCTATCGACAGGTTTTCCATCAGCAGGTCACGATGATTGGCACTCTGCAACGCTAATGCAACTTATAAAGTAGCTTTTATTGTTGACACCAGAAGGAAGGGATGAGACGCACAATCGTTGTACATATGTATGTAATATAGATATTATTATATTATACTGTACTGATTGTACTGTATTATACGCCTAGGTGGTACGTTGATGTAAAGACTTTGAAGTTACATTATAATCTATCTAGTAGCTTTTTCGTGAAAGAGTAACAAAGAAAGCTATCATATTTAAATTAGTATGGGTCGATGCGTGCTTTTTTGAACGCACGGAAACTGTGGTAATACTAATACTAACACCACATGTAACAGTCAATATTATGAGTAACGATATAAAAGTACTAATAGTCCTAATGGTATTGGCCAGTATACGAACCTCATAATCCTATAGGTATAATTCGTATAGGAACCAAACCAACCAACCATAGGTGTAGGAACCAAACTCTGAGCTGCAGATAGAGTAAGCTTTTGTTATTTTCCTTACCTAATCATTGCTAGCCTAAGGGACTATTGCAAATTCACGCGATCCGGTAGTTAAGCTCACGGGCTCGACCTAAGGGAATTGCTAACACTAGCCCTAGGAAGAGTAATGCTTCGCTGAATCTACTACCGGATCGGAATCACGATCCACTGAGAAAATCCGGTGAGAAACTCAGTGGGTAAGCTTGTCGATCGCTAATCTTTAGAAGAACAAAGGCCTAAATTAAATGAAATTTAGAAATCAATTTTACCCGTATGTTATTGGCGTAATGCAATCTCGTAAATGAAAAAATCGTATATATTTTCAAGGATATTTTTTATCTATACTAATATATAAATCTACAGTGGTTTGTACGGATGTTCCGTTATAACTACTGAACCATGCATCCGATTGACTTGAAACTTCCAAAACTGATCCATGTAGAAAATACATGTACTTAATGGATAGACTAATATTTATATGAGTGTTGGACTCCATAATAATAATGACAATAAATAATAATGTTAATTTTAAATGCCCAGCGAAGCGGGCGAGTACGGCTAGTATAAGTTCAATGTGACAAGCTCAAGCGGTTAAACAAATTCATTTTACTCAACATTCAATACCTAAATAAAAGACTCGGTTACGAAAGCTATAGAGCAGAAATGCTTCTCATAATATTTTAAGCTTCATTCCTTTGAAGCGTGTACTGCTTGCTAGTCTTTCGTTTTAATAGCGTATCCTACGTCGCTTTCTTTGAAATGAAACTGTCCTGAAATTTCCGTCTGAATGTGACTCGTTTTCATTTAAAAGCCAGAACGCTCTGTTTCACGTGAACTGAGAAACCTTTGAAATGATAATTTCACTCTTTCACTGGAGTTTGTGTGATTTCCTGGGTTTTTTTTTTTATAATTCGTTTACCGTGTTTGGTCTATTCAATGTTCTGAATGAAAACGATTTGAAGCCTTATAAAGGTAGTCGTTATTTAAAATAAAAGAGCAGTGTGCCTGTGAAAGAAATTTTAATATTCGGGCGTACAGTACCCGTATCGTAGGCAACCCTACTACTTCAACTTCATGAAAGGTAGTTTTGCAGATCGAAACTTCCCTATTATTACTATTATAGGTAAGTAGTGTGGTCTTTATTAATTAGAGACTATTAAACCGAATTACGCAATTCTTAATTATGTAAAAAAGGCATACCACGCTATAGAATAAACGAAACAAAATAATAATATGGTCCTTCAATTTGGACGGATATTCTTTCTCATTATCCATTGATATATGCCATTGGCATACCCCTCGTCTTTACAATCGAATAGACATCCGATTATATCGCATTCTTCTTCTTAGTCGAATACTTCATTGCTGAAGGTCGTGTCCCTGAAAACCCTTCGTGGCTCTTTGTACCATCAGCTTCCATTTGCTTCGGTTTTCGGCTTCTCTTATCGCATTACTCTCGTTTTTTTTATAAATATAAAAGGAAGGCCCTTTATATCAGGAAGCATACTGCTTACGTATCTGTCACATACAAATAAGTTTCAAAATAAATGCTGAAAATGAATACCTACATCTAAAGTCCGGAACCTATGACTACTTACATGAGACACACAAGATATTGGAGTTTGTGCTCGATGTTTACTTGTCATGACGTTTATTTATTTTGAAATTTCATTTCGTAGCACGAACGAAAGCTGTTCGTTTCAGATTTGTTAGCTTAGGACGCTTTCCTGCGCAGTAAGCGTACTTACTGCAATAGCCTTTTATCTCAGCCGTTGTTTTAGGCATACTGCCAAAATCTGAAAAGATTTAAAACGAAGTTAAAGGTCATGCGACATCTAGTAGAATTTAATATTATCGTTTATCTTCATATTCGATTTGAAAAACTAATTCAGGGATAGACAACCGCTTTGTAGTGATTTTGGGGTATTAATTTTCTAACTTTAGTGTTCCCGAGCGTTATGTCATATCCTTCTTTAAATGGCTTTGTACTGTCCCCGGGGAAGAATATAGGACGTCGTTTTGTTCGTCCACGACGATAATAAGCACGTGTGAAGTAACAAATGTCCTTATTTTAAAATCAGATTCTCATTAAAACGATTATAAATACAATATCCATATAAATCAGTGACTTAACCCAAACTCTGTTCATTACGGCCCATTAACCTGTACAAATCAAGATAATACAGGTCGGTATTTATTAGCGAGTCGTTTATCAAGCGGTCGGCGCGACCTTAATGGCCCGAGGGCTGAAAGAGCTGTTGATCTTAATCTGATGGAAAACGTTTTCAAAGGAATTCAAGTGAAAATAAATGTAAATTGGCTATACATAAATTAGCTTACTGGTGGTAGGACCTCTTGTGAGTCCGCGCGGGTAGGTACCACCGCCCTGCCTATTTCTGCGGTGAAGCAGTAATGCGTTTCGGTTTGAAGGGTAGGGCAGCTGTTGTAACTATACTGAGACCTTAGAACTTATATCTCAAAGTTTGTGGCGCATTTACGTTGTAGATGTCAATGGGCTCCAGTAACCACTTAACACCAGGTGCACTGCGAGCTCGTCCACCCATCTAAGCAATAAAAAAAAAGCTTAGTGTCGTCTAGATCTCATTATTTTTAAGGTAATGTGGACACAAGAAACTAGCAGTCACGCCATTGAAAACTCTATGTTATCCTTATTCCGCATTATGTGGCGTCGGCGCAATATCTTCTTTTTCAATTCAGGCCTATCATACGTCTTTTCTCCACTCAGTCTTCTCTGAAAGATGTTTCACATAGTCCATCCAAGTCTTTTTAGGGACGTCCACTCCTCACATTGCTTTCAGTGCGGTTTTCGGCTTAGAATTGGACAGATCCACATCTTCCTGTGGGTATCGTAAAAGGTGTCTTAAGGGATTTATTTTGGCTACCATGTTAGGCTAACGATAGCAAGGAGATTGACGCCAGGCAGATAGTCATATTTTGTCTCGTCGTAAAACTCATGCCAAATCCCTTTGCACAGTGCAATCCGTGAATATATTCCAAGACTTATGAATATCGCAGTGTCCAGTTTTATATAAAATATTATAAAAATATGACAGCTGCTTTTTTTTTTAAGACAAGTCTATATTATTATAGCGTAGTTTTGTCATATTTAAGGCCTATTAAAAGAAATGTGAGTAGCAAGCCACGTTACACGATATTATATAATTAGACGTTTCATGGATAGGCATTAGAAAAATGTGTTGTGATTTTATATTTTTGGTAGCGTTCGCCAGTTTAATGGATCTTCGAACTCAGTGTTTGATCGGTTTTGTCTATTTTACTTTGAGCTCCTATGTATATTCTGTTTATCATTGTTGTTTAGAACTGACGTTGGAATGTTGAAAAATATACCTTCTAAGTATTTTCAGAAGCTTTTTAAAAAGTCTACATATTTACAAAGCACATACACACAGTAATCTTTTACCACTTCTAAAAACACATTAATCGTCTTGTGGCTTTGGCTAAATACAAGAATAACTAGATTTTTTTGTAATATATACATGTCTTTTTTACGTTCTTAAATGTATATTATGTAATAAAAATATTCAGTCTTCTTTTGAGATTAAGGAATCGGTTTTAGCCTAATACCTAGTTGTTAAGTTGGAAGTTGGTAACCGGCCAACTAAGTTAGGGGCAGCCGAGCGTTGCATAATTTAGTTAATGCTCAAGTTACGTGGAACTATGACGTTGAACAACGCTTTGTTTGTTTAGTAAGTTGTACTTAATTGTAAACTAAAACATTACCAGAACTTCATTGAAGGCGTGATCTAAAATGGCTTCTTTAATTTACCACACGCTGGCAGAGAACTGAATAACAAAGACAAATGTTGCCCACTGAGTTTTTCGCCGGATCTTCTCAGCGGATCGCGTTTCCGATCCGATGGTAGATTCTGCGAAGCACGGCTCTTGCTAGGGCCAGTGTTAGCATCACTCCGGTTTGAACCCCGTGAGCTCGCCTACTAGTTAAGGTTACACTGAAATAGCCTCTCAAGGCTATCAGCTTAGGCAGGAAAAAAAATATTGGTAGCGTAATTGCCGCCATAAAAGCTGTTGGTAGTCATAAAACAATATTAAGTTCGGCAAATTAACAATGTTTTCTATTTGTATTGAGGTTCTGTATAATCATAATTATTAATCAATTTAAATATGGATACCTGACCGATTTGTATCAATAATTTATTAGGGAAAATATGAAAATGATTTCTAGAACGGACAATGTTACTTGACAGGTCTTTAGGCGTCGTCGAATAAGCGGCAATCCATGGCCCACTTTCATTTAAAATACAGTTTGTGATATAGGTAGCTGATCAACGTTCAGAGTGCTAGTCAAGTGCTAGCTATCAGCGGCTGCTCTTTTCATTCATATTAAGTAAAAGTACTGAGTGTTTAAAGAGCAGTAAAAAACCTTAAAGAAAATTTAGCTTTTATTACCTTTATCCTTATCTTCAAAATTTATAAGTTCCAAGAATCGGTAGGCAGCGGCTTGGCTCTGTCCCTGGCATTGCTGACGTCCATGAGCGACGGTGACCACTTACCATCAGGTGGTCCGTATGCTCGTCTGCCTACAATGGCAATAAAAAAAAAGAATATCACCATCATGTTCCAATATAACTTAGAACATGCTTATAACACGAAATTTGCTATCAATGGCGTTATTCTATTGTCCAATCTGTCATTCTTAACGTGACCCACAGAGCCCTGTCAACGTTAATTGAAAAAAATGAGTTTTTCTGTGTTGCCTTATGTTTAGCAACGAAATCCACCGCGCTGTTTACTTGTGACATAATAACCAAATCTAAATAATCATGTGGACTACCGGTTTACGTTTTTTGTTTCAATGAACACTTCATACTTAAAGCGGATCCATTGTCCACTGCCAGTTATCCACAGCAAAGAAATAGTAAATTTAAAAATAATTGTTTTTGGTAGGTTGCTCAGTCTCGACGTGACGTCACTGGAAGACGTCTACTGGCTGGAAGACACAACTGCTCGCCACGTCCTGGACCCTAAGGACTTTGGTTCGTGGTCGGCAGCAAGACACAGCTTGCCCACAGGGAAGGAGGCTCTGCAGACACTTAAGATGGAGCTCTGGAGTACCGTGGTCAAGAACAGCAAGCACCAAGACGCCTGGACATGGGGTATACCAATGTGTATTGACCAGAATCTAAAATAGCGAGGGTGTTAATGTGATATTACTGTTACTGATGGTAGGACCTCTTGTGAGTCCGCACGGGTAGGTATCACCGCCCTGCCTATTTCTGCCGTGAAGTAGTAATGCGTTTCGGTTTGAAGGGTAGGGCAGCCGTTGTAACTATACTGAGACCTTAGAACTTATATCTCAAGGTGGGTGGCGCATTTACTTTGTAGATGTCTATGGGCTCCAGTAACCACTTAACACCAGGTGGACTGCGAGCTCGTCCAACCATCTAAACAATAAAAAAAAATTTGTAGCTTTACTCGAGGTTTTCTTCTGATATGCAAAATATTGTAACTCCAGGTGGAATGCTGATTGTTTCCGTTTCGGTGTGCGGGCTGGTGACCTTGGCCGCCATGACGCAACCCTCGTTGGCTCCTGAAGCGAAGCACTCATTGCTGCAGTACGTCACAGGAAAATATTTACATCCACCTAGTTGCAGAGTAAGTTTCTATCTGATTAGTGGTACCTATATAGCTTTTTACTAATTTATGCTGCTAGTCTTACTTCCAGTAAACCACGGCTGCCCTGCACTCGTTGAAGGTTCCAAAGGGATATAGGTGTGTAGCAAGCCAAGAAAAGGAATCGATTTGTGGAAATCAGTTGTGCGTCATCATACTGGTACCACACTGGAGTTGTACTCTTAAGTGCCAATAATAACTACAGTATGGCAATTTGAGTGGATAAAATACGATGCGCCACTCAAAGTTTGTCATGGTCCTCCCCCACTAGTACTCTTTTCCGGTGCCAGTCTCATTCTCACTCTCACTCTCGTCGCGACACGACTGCCCCTGCGGCGTTAATCAGATAATAAAGCTTTTGATTTCCTAAACCCTATGGATATTGGTCAGGTGGAATGGGGCTGGGAGGAACCACAAGTGGTGGGTGAAACGATGTGCTTCACTGTCCTCTGCTACCAGCGCAACGGGCAACCCTATCCCATATGCGACACCGATGAACTGGCGGTCAGCATTAGCCACGGAACTCGGAAGGTGAGTACTTAGATCTGGTTGGCTTATGGTAACAAACTAGATTGGATGTTGATTTTTGTTTGTGATGACGTCACGTCTCCTCAGTTAATGTGGAAAAACGTTACACGATTTCTTCGACACGCGATAGTGCGCACTGTGAACCCGCATAGGTAACTATATTAAAGCAGTCCGTCAAGTTCCGGCTTGAGGGGTGGGGTATTCCTTAAACTGGCTTAAACAATACAATTGGGATTTCGTCCTCATGTCCCGGGGGCACAGTGACACACATATTGTGACATCCACGGGGTCATGTAACTACTTACCACCAGATGGTCTCTGAGTTCAATGGTGAGTTCAAAGGTCAACAAAATATTTAGATAATATCCTTGAATCAGCTGCATTCATATCGACAGTGCGTCTTCAAAAAAAATTTCTGCCACGTACCATCCAGCTTTGGAATGAGCTCCCCTCCACGGTGTTTCTCGAGCGCTATGTATGACATGTCCTTCTTCGAACGAGGCTTGCGGAGAGTACTTAATGGTAGGCTGTGGCTTGGCTCTGTCTCTGGCATTGCCGGTAGGTTGACTGTATGTTCGTACAAAGGCATTAAAAAAAAGGTGTCTTTATGGAAGATTTTATCGTAAACTCGATTGCCAGTAATCACAAAATAAACAAAAATTATATCACAAATTCCTATATGATGGAAGGAATAACATGCAAAATTGTACTTGAGGCTGAGTGACAGCCGCCTCAATGTCTATCAATGTCACCTGATGGTGAGTGGTTAGCGTCGTTTATTGGCGTCAGCGAGGCCAGGGGCACAGCAAAGCCGTTGCCTATGGTTGTGAGCACTAAGTAGCGCACACCTTATCTGAAGGAGGAAACGTAGCGCTCGTTATTGTAGCGCTAGCGTAGTCTGTGTTGAGCGACAGGTCTCGTGCCCAGGTGCAAGCCGTGATAGAGCTGGGCTGCGGGGACCCCGCGCAGGCCAACGTGGCGCGAGTTCAGTTCACGGTGAGGACGGCAGGAGTCTACCTCATTTCCGTTACTATCGGTATGTACTGTTGTCCGAGACGATCTCCATAGGGTCATCTGCTTACGTAGTCAATCACTTCTAGTTCGTCACATGTCCAAACATTTTAAGGGCTTTTGTCGTGAATGTTATGTTGTGGGATGTAATTTCATTGTGAAGATTGTATGCGGCAGAGATGCGAATGTTGAGATGGATGTGTGGAGTGACAAGAATGGACAAGATAAGGAATGAGAATATTAGAGGAAGTGTGAAAATAGCCCCGGTGATTAATAAATTAAAGAGCGGACGGTTAGCGTGGTGTGGACACGTGGACACGTGATGCGTAGAGAGAAGATGCATGTGACTAGGAGATTTATTGAAATGGTAGTGTAAGGTAGAGGGGAAGAGGTCGACCGATGAAGACATGGGTGGAGTATGTGAATGACGATATGAGAGAGAGAAAGAGGAGTGAGTGTTGAGACGACAGCTGATAGAAGTGAATGGAATAGAAAAAAACGCTGTGCCAACCCCACCTAGCGGGATTAGTCGTCGTTGAATGCCTACTCCTACTGCCCTCGTCAGCATTACTACAACACAAGATATTGCATAAAATCTATTTCAGTAAAAAGTAAAGCCGACGTGCGGCGTTGTGCTCTTGATGTCGCGCAATGAAGGAGCGCGTGTTGTGCAATGATGTAGTGTTGCGCGCAGGCGGGGCGGGCGTGTGCGACAGCCCGTACCGCAAGTGGTTCGTGGCGGGGCGCGTGGAGGCGCGGCGCTCGCGCGTGCGGCGCCCGCTCGCCGCGCTCGTGTGGACGGCTCGCTCCCCGCGCGCGCTGCACATCCACCCGCGCGACCGCTACGACAACCCCGCGCCCGCGCCGCCGCAGCCGCACGCGGTCAGTACCGAGCGCGCGACACCACCATTAACGATATAACGTAAAACACATTATAAGCCTGCTGGAGTAAAATTCACCGTCTTGGTTATTCCGCAGACCAGCCACACATTCCAATCGACCCCATTTCTCGCTGTTAATGTTGAACCACACAATAAGCGGGTCATGAGGTCCAATCAAATGTAATAAATATGTCTACTAACGAGCGCTACAGTGTTTGTAATTACTTTGCTTAAAATAAGTAAGCTCTTTCAAATGTTAATCCTTGATTACTAAAAAGAGAGCAAAACTAGAAATAGTGTTAATAAAAAGGATTTTGATGTGCTATGAGCTGGAAGCCCCTCTTCGCTTTTCAATTGGTTACATGTCTCCGTTGTCCATTGTGGGCTGTGACCGCCTTCATTCATGACCTTTGTCCCCGCATACATGTGCCGCAGTAATCAGTGAATGTAATATCGAATGGACTATGAATAAATTACTGGATTTCGAGAGCTACCTCCCAAACTATAGTCTGGCCATTTGGTGATATTTTGTACTAGGAAACAAAAAAAAAAACTTTTCATAAAATAATCGCTGTATCTTTAAAATTATTAATACCGATATTTACAGCACGAACTTATCAAATACCAGCAAAAATCTTCACCTTTCTACTTGCAGGGTTTCTCCATCAAAATTAATACTTTAACTGGAGAGTTAGATGAGAAGCTGTCGTCCTCAGCAGTGTTCCAGTACGACTCGGTGAACCAGCGCGTCACGATGACGCTGTGCTTCCCCAACGCCGGAGTCTACAAGGCCGCCATTTATTATGAAGATGTTCTGCTTCACAACGGACAGTTTGACTGCATTGTGCTGACACGTGAGTAGCTTCAGTATAGATCACGCCGTCGCTTGCTGGAGTGAGAGTGGGGGGTCATCTCCAAAGGGTTGTGGCGACTCACTTACCCGCCACTACTTGGGCAACTGCCTTACAATTCGACAAAATCGCTGTCGCTTATGAATTTCGGCAATCATCCATTATTGTTGTTCAACACTTCGGCAATCTCGAAAAACTGAGGGCAGTAGATATCGATATTCGCTGTGTTACCTTTGCATTTTTAACTTTTATATTTTTTACATTTTTATTTAAGCTTACGAACTATTTCATTTATTGTTAATCGATTGTTTCTTGTTCTTTTGGGTTGCCAAGATGTACGGTTTGCACATACCTAACTAATATGTGGACACGCCGTGCGTCGTCATTGTGGTGTCAGGTTATTTTATTATATTCTTAGAGCAGTGCACTTAGCAACACGCACTCGTTAAGACGTTACCATCTGTGCTTAACCGACATAATAAAGGTGCTCAAACAACATACTTAGTTTACTCTTTGGAACTCTACAAAACTTCCCCTTGGGCCCCAACACCATCGTTCGTGTCAGTGCCCTTACTACTCCTACATGTTCGTCCTTTTTCGTACCACTTGTGTTATAGTTCGTTTGTGTATATTTTTATCTTCAATAAACAATTCAAAGCAGTACATATTCATATTAACCGTGTAAACCATCCTTCGTGTCAGCGCCTACCCAATACAGTTAGAAGCAGCACTACTACTACAGCATTCACAGGGTCTCTAATTACCACTGAATAATTCTGAAGTCGTCGTGGCCTAAAGGATAAGACGTCCGGTGCATTCGTGTCTAGCGATGCACCGGTGTTCGAATCCCGCAGGCGGGTACTAATTTTTCTAATGAAATACGTATTTTACGAGTGTTCACGATTGACTTCCACGGTGAAGGAATAACATTGCCGTGAAGCAGTAATGCGTTTCGGTTTGAAGAGTGGGGCAGCCGTTGTAACTATACTGAGACCTTAGAACTTATAGCTCAAGGTGGGTGGCGCATTTACGTTGTAGATGTCTTTGGGCTCCAGTAACCACTTAACATCAGGTGGGCTGTGAGCTCTAAGCAATAAAAAAAAATCATTACGAAAAATAGTTGTGTAAGTTAGTATGTTGCGTTTGACAGCGAGCGACGCGGCCACCGTGCAGCGCAACCTGTCGTCCCGGCGGCACAACATCACGTTCGAGGCGCGGCTGCTGTCCCCGGGCCGCCCGCGCCGCGTGCTGTGCTGCCTCAACCCGAAGCAGCTCATCGTCAAGGACTACATGTTCAAGTTCATACCGAAGAGGATCACGTCTTTTCGACTTTGCCCGTCTACTAAGGTCAGCGGGGCGCGTCTATCTAACCCAACCCACATGAACACGTACAGTGGGGCATACATTTTTTTTTCTTTTCTCTTTATTATCTACAATCAGTATCCAGTACTTTTATAAGATGCGTTGAAATTTTTTCGTAGTCAGTAAGATCGTGACTCCAGCGAGCCATCTGCTCTAAATTTAAGATTTGTCATTGAACTACTATATGAAGTCTTTTCTCTTGAGCCGTTTACTGTAACTTCGTTTTTTCAAGGCGGCAGCCAGATTGTTTGGGTGCTTTTCCAATCTTTCGTGGTGTTTTTGTTTAAATTTTACGATTTCCTGCATTATTGTAGGCATCCCTAGTTCTCTGTGTATTTCAGTGTTTGTGACCAACCACGGAACACCACTTATGGAACGCAAGATACAGTTTTGCATTCTTTGTATTATACTGATATTCGAATCACAGGCGCTACCGGTAACTCCGGTCATCGTTCTCGTCGAACCCGTCGCTTGCGACGAAGGGTTCGGCGAGTAAATTAACTCTCAGACACAGCCCACTGAGTTTCTCGCCGGATCTTCTCAGTGGGTCGCGTTTCCGATCCGGTGGTAGATTCTGCGAAGCACGGCTCTTGCTAGAGTTCGTGTTAGCGTCGTCATCAGGTTTGAGCCCCGTGAGCTCATCTACTAATTAAGGTTCCGCTGAAATAGCCTCTCAAGACTATCAGCTTAGGTAGGAAAAAAAAGGCGCTACCCCATAATTCGATTCCGTACAGCCAAACTGGCTTAAGGATAACTTTGTAAATTAAAAGTTTGTTGTCAACACTCAGCTTGCTGTTACGTCCCAACAGCCAATGGAGATTTTTGTATCGGATGTTTAGTTCCTGTCTCTTAGTTTGGATGTGATGTTTCCGTGTTAGGCGGCGGTCCAAGTGCATTCCCAGGTATCTTACATTGTCTTGATGAGGCAATATAGCGTTATTGACATGGACAGATGGATAATCACTTTTTCGCAATGTGAATGTAATATACCATTAACAACGATTATTTAAATGAATCTTCTCTCCAAACTAATAAGTAAAACTTTCCATGATTGGCTAAAAAAATTGACGCACTTTTTGACTGTTCGAGCAGCTGCTCATGGAGCCGGCGGGGTGCGCGGCGGGGGGCGCGGCGGGGGGCGCGGCGGGGGGCGCGGCGGAGGGCGGCGGCGAGGTGTGCGTGGAGGACGGCGTGCAGGAGGCGGTGCGGCTGCAGTGCGCCCAGCGGGACCTGCTGGCCGCCTGCTTCACGCACCTGCTGCTGGACAACTGCGGAGGAGAGGACTCCTTTAAGGTAAATGAAATCATCACAACATTACTTTTAAAATTTTAAGTTAAATCGAAATCCTTACGTTAAACCTTTAAATCTTACTAGTGGTCCCCCGGTAGTCGAAATTCGACTTTAATTAATTGAAATTATAAGTTTGTACACTATTATGATTCTGTTGTCAAGTAGTTTCTTTTTTAGGGTATTTTATGACCTGGTAACTAAGACCTTTAAGTCATGTCTTATATTTAAATTTATACTCTCATTATTATGAAAAATGATAGTATGGAGTGAAATGAAATGAAGATGATTAATTTGAAACATTAATCAACTGGGATGAAATTAAATGAAATGAGATAAGATGATATGGAATGAAATGTAATCTCAGTAAAATGGTGGTCATTTACTAAAAATTTTTCAGTGGACTTTTTGGAGGATCCCTAGAAGTTACGTCTAGCGGACTCTAGCGGCTTTGTTTCATTTTCCCATATTTGTGCACTTTCACAGATATTAAACAGTTAATAAACGACCATTATTACACATTTAAACCGTTTCTTCACTAAATAGACAAAATAAAACAAATCACACAATTTCACTCCTCGCGTTCCCGCCAAAAAGTCTGTCAAATAGAATACTTCTATAATCACAGATTACGACCAAGACTACACTTTAGACAAAAAAAAGACGTGTGGGAAAACAATAATAAAAATAAGACCACGCTCTATTTATAAACACTAACAAAAGCAAAACATTAACTGTCCCCTTCACACTCATAAGCTAGACCGCGTGAGAGAGAGAGAGATGGGATGAGATGGACTTTTCATGATTTTCATGCAGTGCGACGTCACGCCGCGCGCTTATTCACAAACACTACACCAGCGCAACGTGTGAATCTGTTGAACGCGAGCTACATAGTAGGCGTAGTGGGGGTGTCCGGTTATTTTCGTTACGGAATTTCTTGATTCAGTCGCCGCGCTCAAGGCCCGCGACAGAAGCTATGCAATAGCTTAAAATATTAAAATTAAAGACAAACAATATTTAATCTATTCTCAATTTGGCTACAGACTATAAGCAGTAAGAATAGTTTGACATTAAATAAATAATATGCATGCGTGTGTGTGTGTCAAATACATGGTAGTGTGTGTAATTTTTTTTTAATTGATTTAATCTATTTTTTACGCATAATTAAAGAAAATTATTAACATTCTGGACTCCTTCTCTATATTTTTTATAAGTGTGGGAAATTTCATTCTCCTCCGTTCGCGCAATTTTCGTAAAAAGGAGTACAAAGTTTTTGCTTCACGTATTAATATACCTAGTCAGGTCATAAGTATTGTTACACAGTAAAAACTTTTCTTTTAGAATGCTGGCCACAAAAAAGTTTATTGAATTCGAATTTCGAATTGTTCATGAAATTAAAAATGTATACTTTAAGAATTTTACTCATTTTTAAATATGGAGTGGACGCTTAAAGAAGACCGTGTTGCAGTTATTGCGTTGCATCGTTGCGGTTACGCGCCAATTCAAATTTTTAACATACTGAAAAATTTGAATATAACCAAAAGATTCGTTTATCGTACCATCAAACGATACAATGAAGACTCTAGTGTAGATGACAGGTCAAGAAGTGGTCGCCCTCGGTCTGTTAGGACTCCAGCAGTGATAAAAGCTGTGAAGGCGCGAATTCAAAGAAATCCCAAACGTAAGCAGAAACTGTTGGCCCTTCAGATGGGGTTAAGCAGAACCACGGTGAAAAGGGTGTTAAATGAAGACTTAGGGCTTC